TCTAATCCACTACAGCAGTTGGCTTTCAAATAGCTGCCTTCGCGCGTTAATAGTTAAATATACTGTATAATAGATATTTATTTAGAAGTTCATAGAGGGTGAAAATGGCGCTGCGAAGACAGCACATGCCAGTTGCTGGAGAGCAAGCGAGATACGTCGTGCATGAGATTAACCATGCCTGTACTTGTTACGATAACCCGAAATGGAATTATCGTTATTGAAAATATCTTTCGAAGAACGACCCTTTCAGCGACGAAGTTTCTAACAACGTTGACAGCTATAGAATCGAAAAAAGCGGGCTCTTTTACTTTTGCCTCGCATAAAAGGTCTCCATCACACGCGCCTTGTCCGTCCTGACGTTGAACAACTCGGTACGTCTGAAGGCCATTTGCTTCACGTTTCAAGCAACAGTCTTCGATGGATGCTTGATTTTGTCACTCTGTGGATAGAGGATAACATCAACTGACGCTCTATGCCAATGTGCTGTTTGAAGTATAGACAGATGTTAAATAAAGGAGGCATCGCGTAATCGCAACAGCTTTACAGCAGAAATTCAACATACGCCTAGACGCCACTAGCTTGAGCGATGTCACATACTTCACAGAGATGCCTTGATGCTGGGAGGGAGTGAAAGGCCGAATTAGATAAAATTACAACTTTTTCTCATTGAATATGCCATTTACCACACAGGCGACTGCTGGAACTTCGTGACGCCAAATTGAGACGAGGTCGCCATAATCAACCAGGTAGAACGTTCGTAACTACAACACAAACGTGGACCACTTAATAACTACATTTACGGACTTTGGCAAAAGGGCTCCCAGTTAGGATAACTTTCGCACGCAACCACGGCGTGGTCCACTACCAGACCAGTTTCCAACCAAAAAAGGTTTCAAGCATAAGCTGACTCAGAGAAGTCAGCGAGCCTCAGACCTCGTAAAGGTCATTTATCTCAGAAGTCTCAATAACGAGATGACGGGCCCACAGTGAACGCAGATAACATTCGACTATATCGTTTTGCTCATAAGAAAAAACATTATAATAAAACCAAATCTCTCTGATCTTTATGCGGTTTAATGGTTAAATTTACACTACATCGGAATATGACCAAGCAATTTAATACCGGCAAGCCAAAACGGCAGAATTTCTACGACGTCATAAGTCTATACATGAGCCAACTTACGGCGAAGGACATAAGTTTCTCGTGTTTATTGTGAAATGTATTTTGGGTTATACTTCTAACCAGCAAGGCTAGATTTTTGGGACACGTTGAAATGTTTAGTGTAAGGGGACCGCGTTCCAAATAAGATATGCGCATACATTTGATATGGCAACTAGTGTAGTACATATGTGTACGGAACAACATGTGGATGAAATTATAAGAATATAGTAAAAAAAAAAAGTCGAGTGTAGGGGAACTTTCATATGCGGCATTTCGATGAACTAAAGGCCGGATGATTCGTTTCCGTTACGTTGCTATCTGCAAGTAATTTTGTAGTTGTTCCTATATCTTTCCGTATGCGCGGCTTCAAAAACGCTGAGGGACTCCATAAGAGGCTGTACTCTATTAGATCATCTAATAACCAATGCGGCAATATTTTCACAGCGTGGGCCGGTGGATTCATTTTGGGCCAGACCCAGGTAGCTCGATAACGTTCGTTAATTAAGCGCACTCAATAGTTTTTCGTGCTACATAAATTGTATACTACTACTACGAAGTATGTTAGATTGCAAATAAGCCATTCCTTTAAAACACAGATAAACCTAGTCGTACAACTGGACAGAAATGGCGCGTAGCGCGTTTCATTATATTTGTCAAACTTGATTGAAACTGTAATTTACGGTTAGCCAGAAATGTTTATTTGCAGAGTGATGCCACCGAAGGCAAAATAGCTGGGGGCAAGTACTTTTCATATCGATTGCGGATAAAGACAAATTAACGAAGTGGCCTTACCCATATTTTCTGCCACGACTATTATTGGTGACCAATCTAGAGAAACAAAATAATTTCGTTAAGAAAGCTTGCTCCTTCTTCTGTTAGTAGTGATTTATCTGGATGTAGATATTGCTGACTATTTAGACAAGCATGATACAATGATCACCTGATGAAACTGCAGCAAGATAAATGGTGGCAACAAACAATAGAACTGCGACTTTTTACAGTTCTAGCCAGATCTCTTCTTGTCCATATAAGCGTGCCGTATACATCGTATGCATAGCGTACGATTACCTATAACGTATGATCTACTTCTTATTCAAATGGGAATCAAGATAATACACGGCATCACCTTGTGAGCTGCTGGTCGACAACGAAATATGGATCTGTGTAATCTCAGATTGACCCCATTTCTGCGTTAAGTGAATCGATTGGTTAGCCCGCGAGAGGCTCCGCATTATTTATTCTAACGCCTTGCTACTCTGAATACTATAATAATAATAATAATAATAATAGAAAAAGTTCAAACACATTCATAAAACGGACATCGCTGCCCACAGGGGCAGTCCTCCCGGCAATGCATGCAGATATAATCGCTCCCAAAACTGAGTCACGAAACGTCAACACACCCCAACATAGGAAACATCGTTAGAAAATCGATGATTTCTGTCAGATTTTGCCGACGACCAAATTTGGGTGCCAGCTCACTTCGCAAGATCCCAACCAAATTTTAATGCGACCACAAATCCCAATTATTTGGCCAATATTTCCTTTTAGATTGTCCATATACATATGGTTTTCTCTCTATCGAATAATTCGAGAAACTGTCATCGAAGCCAGAGACATATTCCCGGAACGCATGAGCGACATCTGTGTGCAAAACAACCACTTATTGCGTCAAATCGGCGGAAAAGTAGGTTTTGTCGATGATAGCCACTGGCATGTCGGTATAAACGAAAGGCTTACGCTACAATTTTTTCCCGCTAGCATCAAGGTCTTCAAAGTATCTAGACGTACTGGTTATGCAATCGTTATGATCAATGCAGTACGTTACGCTAAAAACATCCTCGATTTACGTCTAATCTTAACGGAAGAACTGGCCGGACAAACACATGTGTGCCGTTAGACGACATTAATTCTACGGCGAATTGTCTATATATTGAATATAATAGTTATTTGTCGAAGTAATCATCGTTCTACCATTAGTAACTGTCGTTACAGAAGTCGTAATGTTTCTTCATTGGACCATCCCTCGATCGAGCAGAGCAGAGAACCTTCAACGTCTGCTTACCTTACGGTGTTTTCGAACGCCGGCTTAAGTCCCGTGTGTCCGTCTATTGGCCAGCTAAATAAATAAATCGCTAAGAAGCTAACCTTTGGCGGCGAATGAGACTCCGCTAATGCTGTTTCTGTCGCACAGGCGATCTTTTGCGTTAGTTTGGATTTATGCCTTTTATTAAAAAATGGCCAGAAAAAAACGGTCAGCGCTCCGCCAAAGGAAAAATTCGCCGAAAATTCCTAGTGCCGACGACGGCAGCAGCAGCAACAGCTGCTTCTTTGGTCATCGCTTCTTCGTAGGGCGATTGCGCCAAATCCATAGTCGTCCTGGCTTACCGTAACGCGTTTGACGGATCATATCTTGACATAGAAAGTAGTTCTGGTTCTAGATTCATACTGCTGATCTCACAGAATACAGGGCTGATACTGCAATGTACACCATACACTTGAACAATAACAAGTACAGACATTCAAAGGCTTCCCTTCACAAGCTGGCTCCTTATATGTTGCATGAAAATTAGAGGTCAGACTTTATGGTTAGGTTAGGTTAGGCGCGCATGATATATTTTTGTTCCCGCTCCCTCTGGATTTTGCTGCCCGCTATTTGTTCCCGACTGATTTGGATTTACTCTGTTTAAATTGATAAACAAGATTAAGGTCACTTTATTACACTCACGCCTGCTTTGTACTCAACAGAACGGAGTACAAACCGAGTGTATCAGCTATGGCCAATCCCCATTCTATGATAAACATGCAAAAATAAATGTACTTCTTAGTTTTGCTAAAAATAAATCAGTCTATGCATGAAGTCATGGATACTCGCAGTGTTTAATATCTTCCACCTACTCTAACACCGCCAAATACGTTATCATAAATTTAGTACATTTTCTATAGACGCATTTGTAACTCGAAAGGCTAATGTCAGACGTCTTCGTCTATGGTATCTAGGGAAAATTTCTGGTTTTTAATAAGGCCTTTAGAGTTCGGTGTGTCAGCCAAAAGTAGATATTATATAATAGCATAAAGCAGTCGAGCGTTTTTAACGACGCTTCACTGCTACCGACAGAAATCCGGGGTACATAATTCGAGGGGCGCTTTCAACTATCTTGGTGAAGCGTAGACGGTTTTCTTTACTACACTGGGTAATGCTCGGCCAAATATTTAGAAAGAGACTGGTGTCAAGCCGAAATACTGGCACAAGTCCCAATGGCAACGATGCACATTTTTCATTACTTGCGTCTCTTGATAATATAATATGGCCCCTAGTTATCTTACTTGCTAGGCATATCAGCTCATCAAGCTTTTCTCACCCCGGCACGACCTTGTCCTGAATTGATCGTTGGCGCAGGAGGATTTTGCTAGTTCTAATAAAAAAAATTCTGTTACAAGCGTTTCGAACGCACAAACCTGCCGCCGATTTTCATATTGTTATTATTTTACTTGGTGTGCACAAATTTTCCCTTTCATAGTGGCTGTTGGACCTTCCCGAAAAAACGCCATCACCATCAATAAGATAACGGGAACTTAACATATCTTCAATGCCTCATATCTGTGTGTATTTGTCCGTAGCCACATGGAAGTATTTTTTCCATTGCTACAGTTATTTGCTATTGAATAGTGCCCTTGTGCTATAGAAAAGTCACCCTTCAGGAAAAACTGTGTTTTTCAGTTTAGTTAACGAACAATCCTATTAAATGTTCTTTGTATCTTTTGTCCATCACCCAGAGGTCTACCGAACCCGGGAGTTTTTTTTTATATCTTACTTCCTCTATAATTCTATTTTCAGTGGAGAGGGCATCTGTTGAGGCCGCCTCGAAGTGGTCGGTAGTGCAAAATTTACTTGCTGCAACGAAACGGGCATCCCGGAACCATAGCCACATGGCAATTTTGAGCTTTCCCCATTGTCATGAACGTAAACGAGAGCTTATTTTCTACAGCTCGTTTGCAGCATCCTCAGCGAGATAAAGGTAGGTTCTCGTTTTTGTTTTATTTACTTTTTTATAACTACCGCGAACGCTCGGTATTTGGCGCAGTCCGCATCCATGTCGGGTATCACCGGTGGGGTGGATGTCGTCAAATTATAGTTACAGGATAGCTGCCGTATTACCTCAAGATTACCTCGCCGCGTCCCGACCTAGTTATGAGAGAGAGCCGTCTACAGCCAGCGACACTCGGGGTTCTCGATTGCTCGTTAAGTGTCAAAGGTGCGTTGGTAATGGCCAGTTCTGACGGAAAAAATGTACACGTACATAAATAAATAGTGTATAATATTTGTACGGGATGTTTGGGACGAACTCTGATTTGCTGGAAGTCGGCATACGTTTATGGGTTGTTGAATAGAAAGAGCCATCATGGCGGATACAAACGGCTCATTTTCAAAATAGGAGCGCCGATTAGTAGTTGTCTTCGTCGGAGATTATATGCAGAATACTGTTAGCTGAAATCGATAGTTTAACCCGTGGCCAATGAGCACTGTTAAAGAAACAAGGTGTTTCTATACAGTGGAACAGGAAAAAGACGACAAAAACTTCGTTGCAAGAGTTCTACTAGGGACTGAAAAAGGTGCAATAATGCTGATAGGCCTTCTAGTGCTTTGAAGGCGTTCAGCGAGGTCGTAGGTGCAACGGCTCGAATCCTTGACGAATACCTAACTTTTATATTATCAAAGTAAGAAGCTCTCTAAGGCAATGAGCTTGAACTGAACAGTAACTTAGAATATAACCTTTTCGAATAGCAAACCTATAAACAGTAGCGATGCGAGAGCTATAGAGAAAAAAAAGTGCCAATAAGGAACACTTACATTTAGTGTATAGGGGCCCGGGGCCCTGTTGTTGCGGATAAGAAACCAGTATAGAAATAAACACTTAATTATTCAACAAAAGCGTCTTAGGTTTTATTTTAATATTTTTTTTCTGTACGCTTGTTGTGGCGGCATACGTTATAGCTCTATTGTTCATAGCCTGCATTAAATAGGACACGCTTGACGTATGATGTCCCTGTATCTTTCGTGTATAACGAGGCTTAGCTTAATTACCAACTATTATTCATGGTAGCGGGTACCATTCTAGCCTAGTCCTGTAGTGCCCTAATTTTTTCGTCGAAGAAATCAACGAGAGAATGCTATAAGTAAAACGACGAGTTTTCTGCTGGCGCCTTCGTGTTGACTCTAGCTAAACAGATCTATTTGCAAAAAAAAATATCTACCAAGCTGTTTAAATAATTACATATAATTACATATGATCAGTCGATGATAGTAAGTACACCGTTGTATATGCGTTATCATAATGCCAAATATTCTCTCCATTCCTACGATATAGTGGACGCACACTTGAGAACAATCCGGAAAGTTGTCCGCAGATCATAAAATCAATCATTTTAGAAATTAGTTAGTTATTAACAGAAGTAGTTTTTTATGCCTTTTTTTTCAATTTATTTATGTAACTTCGGAGAACAAATTTATACGTTGACCAAGTTACAGTAGTGACTTCTTACCTAGTTTACGGATAGTCTTCTTCCGAAGGAATAGAATGCGCTGAGAATTTACTATTTGAAAATTACCGAACAATATCTATGAATACGGGCCGAGTACTAGATCTTTTTTTCTAATTAGAAATTTATTAAAATTAATTAGAAAACTGCTATATAGCGGGCGTGTGTTTCCGTCTCCTTACATTGAGCACTAGGAACATAAATCAGACCATTTTTTAAACAACGGAATATTGCTTCTGAAAATGTGTACTATCAAATATGTTCATTTGTACGTTACTGAATCTTTCTTTGCACTATATCTCGAAAGGAACGATAGAACCACTTAGAAGGGCAAAAAATCTGTATCGCGAGAAAAATCACACCCAGTAACTCATTGAGTACCACGGTTTCACCTGTCCTATGATTCCACCTTCCTAATATAAATCGAGTTCTTTGAAAGTTACTGCACTGTGTTAGTAGTACATGAGCCTCTTCGAAGCTTATGGGCCGGTGTACTTCAGAAATGAAACAGGGATCCGGGTCAAATATGAGTAAAGAAGCCAGCCTGTAAGCCTAACGGAACTATATACCTGTTTCTGTGTCAAGCTGAACTAAGGTACGGAATTTTCGAGCGCAGGGTGTCACATGTACTTCGCGTGATGGCTATTTTCTAAAGAAGTATTATTGACAGAGCGGCCGGATAGTATTGCCTATTCACACCTCATATAGTCACGGTCGTGCATCACGACTAGCAATGGATTACGCCAAACGTGCTTAGGTCGGGTACGACGCATGGCTGGAAACCCACTTTGCTATAATTCCAAATGAATTTCGATCTGGCATAATCACGGACTCCCTAATCATTCACTTCTATAACCACAAGCCTCTCTCGGAAGACAACCACCTTTGCACCAAATCATTAGGAGCCCATATAACTCCATCTCGACATCCAACATAGAAACCTTCTACTGGTGTACTTCCGACAAAATAAACATATTTATAAATTGTTTTTTAGAAAAGTCCAAATCGCGAACGTTCTGACATCTTCCCTGTGAAAATGACTGTTTTTAACGGTTAAGTAAATTTTAAACGTTTTGCACGTATTAAGTATGGTTATATATTCGATGACGCCAACCAAATAAGCTCTGAAATGACGCTTAACGATGTACTAGACGAAAACAAAACAAGCCGTCCAAACGGGCTGCATTCATGGACAATACATGCAATCACGATTCATATATGACCCAATTATGATTACGATAACTGCTATTATTATTATTATCAAGTTTTTATGACAGGCCAATGTCAGAAGTCAGTAATCTAACGTAATAAAACGATGAATCGGTCGTATTTAATCAATCTGCACCGGGCGATTGATCGCAGCCGTCTCTTATCAATCACTGTTGCTCAGCGCTTCGTTCTCCTGTTACCTAGCAGCAGGTCATCATCGAGCACCTACCCTGGCAAGGGATTGTCGATATTTACCTTCATTACGATAGTGGAACAAATGACTGAACGGAGCCATGTCGTGGCGCGCGTTTCGACGCTTATACATATTATGTATTGTTCTAAGCTGGTCGTGCTAGTATCGGCACCATATAACAATATCTATGCTAGTGCAAGTCATAAATTGCATATTGTATCGTTGTTCTATCAAAATGCTTGGCTCTAATGCTCGTTTTTCCGTAGTTTCAACAAAGTTCGTTCATTCCTATAGGGCTGCCAGCACCTAAGTCAGTCATCACTGCGTTGAGTAGCGAAAGGGATTTGGTCGCAAAGATGTATCTTTCGTTTGAATAGAAACAAATCTTTCTTCATCCTCACTTTATCTTATTGATTTACCTTATTTTATCTAATTGATAACATCAGAAAGGATATTTGTGCCACATCCACCAAAGGCCCTATAATTGAAAGGATCACTGAAAGTTTGTGAAGCTTAAAGTTGATTCGCCGAGAGATTGGCTGTGAATATTCGATTATTATTATTATTAAATGTCGACGATTTACGTTTGCGAGACTAGCAGGATCTTACACACTAGTAAATGCCTCAAGGGCAACAAAACAATCAACGTGAACCTGTATACGGCCCAGTTTCATTGCATAAAAGATAAAGATACCCCTTCCTACAGCGATGATGTGAGACTACACACAGCGGAGGTCGTTAAAACCGCCGTTGCAGGAACTTCAGGGGAAAATTCTTTAAAATACTCGATAATTGAAACAGTGCCAAAAGCTGGCTGGAAGAATTTTTTAACACCAAACTCGAAAGTTCTTGCGACAAACAAACCGCTTGGAACAGCGGACCAGGTCCTCGAGGATGATGGCAAGTTCATAGAAGATTCATTTGTTGAGTGAAACGCTGTGCTTATTTTTATGTGAAAAAACATTACATTTTTTAATAGCCAGATTTTTTAGAACTGATGCAAAGCAAAAGCAGTTTGACATACGGGGAACACTGGGAAAATGGATAACGTTAGAGACTGTAAAACACGAAAGGCCTAGCGTCGTAGACCTAAAGAAAATTAGCATGCTTGTTTCCTTATTTCCCATATTTACGGAGGGTTTTTATAATAAATTCTCACTTTTTTTCGTGACGATTTTGAAAAGCATCTGGTTCTCTATTTACACTAAGACAATGTCACAAGTTTTTTCTTCTAACCCATATCTAAACATCTACAGGTATTGACAAGTGCTGGTCTAAAGATTCGCTCAAGCGTCATTGACAGAGCAGAAGACGCTAATAAACAAATGTACGTACCAAGTGTTTTTTTTCTTTTAGTACGGTGTTAATTTTAATTGCTCTTCTGTTATTGCGTTTCAAGACGGAAACATATCGTGATCGTTTTTTTTTCTTTGAATGTCACAAATCTACAAGGACGTAGATGCATTAGTATTGAATCAGACGATGGGTATTATCATGTGTTTTGTTATCGGAACGGCAACACTTCTGCACCGCTTATTTCGCGTTGGAAATGAAAAACGAGCTCGTTAACTCTACTTACTACTAAGTTCTTGCTGCTCGTTGCTTGGCAATTTGTATTTTTGCCAATAATTTTAATCCTCAAAGACTGTCCTCGGGCCAACACCGTAATATTTAATGATTTCAAACAGCCCGATATAGGCGTCACCCTATTCGAATTCAGCCGGCTTGCAATTTTCACCTCATAGCCCTGTACGAATATCCCTAAGCTATCTGCTATCATTAGTAGCCTGTAGCAAACGGATAAGAGGTCGCTCAAATCTCCTTCTTCATTGCCTTCCATATAACAGCGACCTTAGTGGTCGTCGAAGCTGCCCCGTCACCCTTTCTCGATCTTAATGTTTCGTTCGTCGCTGCTAGCGTACCTTCCCCTAGTATAGATTCCATCAGCTCCTATGGCACATGTGTCCCCCGTCGTGACTCGTTGGCTTTTTTCGTCTGATTCCCGGTAATTCGCTTGTGCTCTCTACTTAGTCTTCTAGTCTCGCTTGCTCATAGTCAATGTGTTAAAAAATCCTTTGCATATGATGGTGCATCTGAGTGGCGGTGCATCTCCTCTATCAACGAAAGGCAAGATGACCTTGAATCAACACCCCCGATCTATAACTCTGTTTTATTCAGCCAAAGGAAGCCTATCTTATTCGAAAATCGGGACTTGGCTGGGCTTCAAGTGGACGTCAACAATTTTGCAGGTCGCGACCAAGCCTTGGCCTTGACCAGCCATAAACTTTTGGTGACAGCTTCCCACGAACCCGTAATAGCAACAGAACAAAAACGCCAGGCCAGAATTCCCCAGTAGCTTGAAGAGACAGGAATACAAGGGTGAAATGGACTCCCAAACCAAGAAGGAACAAAGTGAGCTTTTCTGCTCTGATTCGCGCCGCGAATCAACTCGATTCCAAAAATAACTAAACCTTTATTCCACCCTGAATACGCACTGCTGCGCAGAATTCTACAACGATAGGTCGTACGGATGTACCTACAGATGTGGCCCTAAACGTGATGCAATGCGAACATATAAGAAACATCTATATATGGATTGTTGCCAGTGTTCTTTTGCGCTTGCACACCGCAAACACGATTGGACGGTAGCTGTTGGCCTTAAATAGGCAACGCGCTATTGCAGACCCTACCTTTGAGATGCCGCTGGAATAGTGCCTGTGTATATCGTAATGGGGGCGCCGGCAGTGTGTGAGGAAAGCTTAAAAAGCGGGCGAAGAAGTATTTCTGGGTCATATATCCATTTATCGCCATCGACCATGGACGATGGCTCATCGCCGATCATCCATCATATTAGCGTAGGCGGCCGGAGGGGGGCTGAATGCATAACACAGAGTGTATTAATAAGAGAAGCAGAGTAGAGCTGCTACGCTGCGTGGCATATGCGATGCGAACTCCACGGTAGAATTTACCATCCACCACTACGACGTCGGCAAACTTCCCCTGACGCGCCCGCGTGCAGAGTTCACGCCAAACAAGCTTGAGCAAATAAAGCAAAAATTGAACAGAACGCTTCCTTCTCTGCCCAGTTTACTTACGATTACGAAGTTTTACAGGGGAAAAGCGACCAATAGAGAAATCTGGAGAACGTAAAGGATAGAGGTATGACATAATGGAGGACCGAAGGTAACATTAAAAGATTATTTACACTGAAAGATTTCTATTTGCCAATTAAAACACGGGCGCATACAATAACATAGATAAGAAAATGTGCTGTGTTATATCGATTAAGACTATTCTGTGGGGTTTGGATGCCTGCAAGGCTTAGGCCACACGTAGGGGATTATGCTATGCTTCCGTCATTAAATAGTAGTTTATTTGTCAACAAAGACGCTGTAACGAACGGTATTGTGAAGGAATAAAACAGTGAATATCACGTAACTACAGATGATTGGTACGCGTATTTCACGAGGTATGGCTTATTGAAACACTGATGCGCTTCTTTCATTGCGCCAGTCACACCAAAGAAAAAAAGCCTTTTATAGATCTTCCCGGCAAAAAAGTAACTCGGCAGGGACAAATTATCACAAGGAGTATAGCAACAATGTTGCTGGAGAAATTTACGGTTGGAGTTTGCATGGCTGAGTGAATGAAGAGAGTCCAGAGTTGAAGATGGCGAGTCGCGACACGATGGGAGTTTGCTAGAAGAATAATATTTATCAGCTGAGCTTAAAATCAGGACATCTTCGATGAACGTCTGAGGCTCGAGACCCCTCTTTTGACCTGTACGCCGCGGGCCAACAGGTCATAGTGCCGTCACTGCTGAACTGAACACAAGGTTCAACGACGAGGGCCTCGAACGATATTATGGAGAAAGAGTTAGCATTAGAATCGCTTTAGTGAGCCATTTTTATTGAATAAACACTGAAAATTATTGAACCAATTTTATATCCGTTTTAATAAAATTGACATTGGTTATCTAGATGTTTTGTTATAGCCACCTTCGAGTTAATGCCTCCAACTACATCAGATGATGACCATCTGTTTGTTCTCCTTTTCTTCTTATCGTTAATATTTATAGTCATGCAGCTGCAAAATCCCTTGAATTGAAAAGCGGCGACGAATATCTAACGAACGTTAACTATGTACAGAAATGTTTACCCGTTCAGCCCCTTACCAGTCGTAACAATATATCAATATTATGTAATCTTGGCGGATATAATATTCAGAAATATAGTTATTGTCTAGCTATTTTTTTCCATTACAATAAATTAAGATTTATGCAACTGATTGATGTTTAAGGCTTTTTTTTTTTCAAAGCGTTATAAAATGATTAGAAGAAACGAAATGCTAACAGCTAACAGAACGCGTAAATAAATAAACAAACAAAACAATTTAATCGACAGATAATCGATAATACATAATCGAAGTATTATAAAAACAACGATATATCTGAAAAGCAGCTGAAATACGGCTGTTTGTTGTGGAACAAATTCGGTGGTTTTTTTTTTTTACAAAAGAAGAAAAAACCATCCGTCGAACAGTTCATCAGATTACGTTTACCTATAATCTATACGCTGATGACAGCTATAATTTGTTCGATTAAATTGAAGCTGAAAGATATTATAGATAGGATCAACTAATTTACAACGGCGTTCGTTAGTGGACGGTCGACGAGGTGGTATCGGGCGACCGACTCGCGTTCAACTTTAGTGAGAGAAATGGCAGAATTTATAACAATCACCGCAGCCAGCTAATTTAGCTGATTACAAAATTATAATGATACCTAACCGTGTTCCTCATATGTGACCAGTGTCAACGTATCGTTCTTAAATGTATAGACGAAGTAAATAAATCGTATTGTTCATGAGCGAGATTCATATTGCTTCACGCCCGATACTTCTTCTATTCACATATCTATTTAGAAAAAGATTTCTCGGTGGTGATACGGCGAATGATTCTTCCCTATACCAGAATAATTTGAAAGCAAATTTTGCGGAAAATTGCGAAAACATTTTTCTGTGTATAATGTAAATATTTCGATATGGGTGAAGCCCAAGGTCTATCCAGGCAGATATTTTTCAGTGCTAGCTATGCCCCATCGCCTTATGGGAAAGAAAACTCGTTTCAAGCCTGTCAGCAGTACGGATGTACTAGTTTAAATAGGGCTTTATTGAATAAACGCCAGTACTGTTGACGGGCACGAACATCTTATCGAACAATATATAGCATTAATCCGTTGTCGTTTTATAGAAATTCAATTGCTTTGCTTTAGCTTCAGTCGTCTCCTTCTGTAGGGCCTCAGCGCCTTAGTTCCTCGAAGAGCGCGTAGGTGTATTGCAATATATATATATATATATATATATATACACTCTGTTAAGTAAGTATTCGTTCCTGAATATTTACAGAACAGTCGTTCCACTTATTTACTTTCACATGTCGTAACTTTTTCGATCAGGCGCTATGACCTGGATTCGATGAAAGTGTTCCTGTTTGATATGTGGCTTTTTTTTTTTTATATGAACGCTGAAAAACGACTGCCTCCCGTAAAATCGTCGTCTCAAGTAACCCTACTATACATATATACGAGCTTCTACTTAGCCGTCAAACAAATATGTATCCGAATATATTCTTATCTTCGGCTTGACAACACACACAGCCGTGTGTAAAATTTCAAACAATAATAGCTACCCAATAACATCATGCGCATAATGTCTAGCTCCACAAAAGTCCAAGCCAATCCAGCTGCTGTACGTCGTCCCTGGAAATGGCATTCAGCGCCATCGAACACCCACTGAAACACGACCGCTGCACAGGTAATCATCGTAGTCAACGACGAACGGCATCGCCATCGGGACGCTAATAATTGTTGTGGTTGTAATAATAACAACAGCGAATGTAGCCGTCTGTCACCGCTTATGAGCGTTGTTGGCGGCCGCTGAAATCGCCTTATGATCGCCCGCTTTCGATGCTTCCACTGCACCATAGCATTGATATGCTGATCCAGCTTGCGTGCGTCGTGTTAGTCCTTATGGCTGATGCTTCGCGGTGCACCGGCCATGAAAACCGCCATTGGTGCTGTCAAAGAGCGTCATAGCCATTCCGATTGCTGGCGATCCAACCCCTGTTGGCGTGTTGATCTGCCTGTGTCGACTTCTTTTTTCATCGACTGCCACGCTACTATAATCGCAATGACGCTATCACATTGCGTTCCGACCGATCGGTCTCTCTCTCTCTGGAGTGGCGTGAGGTATGAGAGTTATGCGCTTTTCTTTAAATGAATGCGTAGTCAAACAGCCAACCAATCGTGCAAGTAGCGCCAATAGAAGTATTATCCGGCCAATCCATAGACGACGAAAGTCTGCGCTAACTGTTCATCGGGGCGGAGCCCTCTGCGGGCGTGGTTCTACACGTTCCCCATCGCCCCTCGCTGTGTCCCCGCTGCTACCGCAAGAGTCGATTGCGTTTATCGGCGGAGTCGGCGGCAGAGTCCCAGTGGAAACCAATTCACTGACCCAATAGGCAACGTCTAGCTACATATATATATATATATATATATATATATAAATAAAATTCTAATGAGATGCTAACGTCGTTGCGGATATACTCATTGAATGAGGTTGTCGATATTTACTGATTGTTCATCTTGAAATTTTTTTTAAGCTAACGACCGCAAAATGTACGACTTCCTAAGACCACGGGCGACGCTGTTTTTAAATTTTAAAACGGTTCGAGTACTAGAATTCAGTGCCATATAATCCCGATTCATTGTCATACAGCGCTCGAACGTTAGGCTCAGCCCCAATACCTAACGTTGTTTCCGCCGAGACCACCTGTCTCTAACTCCCCAATCACCCCAGATCTTCAATTAACATTACTACATACTGATAAGTATGACTTACGCCATTGGATCGTCAGGCCGGGGCTACCCTGAGCAGATTTTATACGTCTCCGGATAGGTTTGTTCCCTGTTCACAAGATAACCTCCCGTGCGTTCTATAAACCTAACCGCAAAACATTGTCAGCAACCGTAATAGCCGTTCTTTTTCCCCCGAAATGTCCGTTTCCAGAGTTTCATCCGCGCTCCGATTGGCGATCAATGAACACCCTCATTCCGTTCCCTAAGGGTAATCTCATTCATCCCGCTATATGACATGCTGTAGTATAAGTAAACACCGTACAGCTTGCCAATGTATAATGTGCAGTACTTCCCACGGCCGCAGTGCACAGGACACAAATGTCAGATGAGGCTTTACAAGTTTTGTGAAGACCACTTTGAAAGCTTCGTGACCCTTGAACATCTACCGGGCGTCGTGTGGGACCGTTTCACCGAAGCATACAATCGAGGCCTCTATGTTAAGGATAATATCCGTTACTGCCGCTCCCGATGCAAAATTATTTCCTCCTACTCTTCCTATACCCTGCTCAAAACTTTGTTTCCGTAATATCGAGTTGTCCCAAAACATACGCCTTCCTTAAGCACTCAAGTTCCGGGGATCAGTGCCCACCAGGACCAAGGCGACGTTTGAGGTTAGGTTGCGGCAGGCCCTAAGCGCCCTCACTAGACGCTTCTAAATAGCTTATTAACCGTGACCTCCGTAGCTTCGGATGCTGTCCAGACGGAGCCTCAAACATCGCAATCGATTTTGATTACGGTCTGTTCTTTCTTTCCTGAGGGCAATGTATGTTTCGCACTGTTCTGAAAATCTTTATAGAGGCTTTAATCCCTTTTCTGACGGTTTGCCTGATTTACTGCACTCCCCTCATTGCGAAATCGAGTCTGATACCCAGATATTTTGTCATTTTTTCTCCATCAAATGTTTATGTGAAAGGCTGTGTTCTTTCTGCCGTCGTACGAGTGCTCGTATACGACATATGGTAAAATTTAACTTCTTCAGTATTCGCGTCAACCTTCATGAGGCGAATACCTAACGCAGCACCGTACTATAATTTACAGCTGCTGGTGATGCACCGCCATTAAGAAGAAACATGTTAAAGAGAAATTCTAACGATAACGAGTTATATATATATATATATATATATATAGCAGTTTTAGCTATGAACGTATCTGGTGGCTAACAGCACAATGGGCCCAACCCACCGCTGACTGTTGTGTTACCGACGGGGCTGGGCCATAGGCGGCCGCCTATGCCAGCTTACCTGCCCTAAGCTTAAACACTTTTTTGACTGGGCACGAAAGAGTGTCGTTCTCTGACTCGTGCTCGTCCCAACAGTGGAGCTGTACGTGTAATCAGCGACAGGGCGGACTAGTCGTGATCCAGTCGCGTCTATGGCTGTCTGTGTGTGACCTTAACAACGATTTAGCGGTTTGAGCAATGCTATGATCCAACCGTTGTTGCTGGATTGTCCAAGAAGCAAATCTGCCCGCCGCCGCCGTCGTCGCCGCCGCCGCCGCCGCCGCCGCCGCCGCCGTTGGGACTGCAGCATCTCTACCGTCCAGACACCTCTTTCTGTCAACGACGTTAAATGACAACGCCAACAAAAACGCAATGCTAGTCGCAACGTAAAACGCAATGGATAGGGTCTATTATACGTGCGCAGACCATCTGAGCGCTCCCTTGTGTAAAGGGCAGCCCTGAATCAGTGCGACGAGCCATTGGTCAGCTGTCGAATAGCCTTGCCGCTTGGGGGTGATTGTAAGTTAGGTTTGTGCACACGGCCGCAGTCGCACATAGAGCTTAGATAGGGGAGAGGTGTGACCACACGGTCGTTCTGTCCCCACTATAACGGGATATCCCAATGCTACAATATCCGCCTCAGACCACACTGGGCGTAGTGGTGTGGAGCTGGCGGTGATGGCGGCGGAAAGGCCTGGTCATTATGCGGGAAACAATGAAAAAAGTTACAGCCTTTGTATGCCAGCCTCGTTTTGTAGCTGGATTTTGTTCGGTGCTTGAAATTTCAGCAATGTGGAAATGTAGCAACGAACGGTTTGTTGCGGATTCTCCATTGCTAGTCCAGCTGTAGAAGATATTCGATGCCATTATGCCTGCCTGGTAGTGAGCGCGCTAGAACGTCACAAAGCCAAATTGATATATATGTAAGTAGCAGCCACAGATTAGGAGTGACAAACGTGGCGACTTTCTGCATAATTGATTCCTATGTGTCATGTTAGAAATGTTGTTTGTACCAGAAACTAAATAACCATAGCAAACATGACCCGTACAAATGAAGCAGAATTGACAATGGCTTAATTGTTTTCGACAAACAGACGCACCAAAGCTCTGAGGACATGCAGCCGAAATCGTTCTTAACAATTGTCGTTGCAGATCAATTAAGTTGAATGCCAGCCATTAGTGGCAATACTTTGAATGTACAGGATGAACCAGTATAGGTCCGGTCAAAAACAACAGTAGATCCCAGCATTACACAATCGATACTCTCGTAACGGCGCTCGAACTGTGTTCTCTACCGTTTACTATTATTCTGAGAAGAATGAGATCTGCTGATCGCTGCCCGTTCGCTTGCGACGACGCCATCACGTAGGCAAAGGTAAAAAAAAACATGAAACAAATAACAGAACGACTAAGTAATCTGTACTGTCCAAATCGTGCTAAACGAGTGATGCAATCGACATTTGAATAAACCTCACCTGCACCGTTTACTGCAAGCATATACGAACTTACAATAGGTTAAGTAGTTTTGTTAATCTTCTTGAGCACCTATCTCGAGTCAAGTTCCTAGTACGAAATCGGGAACGCCTTAGCGTTGGAACTTTCCATGTGATATTCTGTCATCAAGACTTTGGCCATTCGTTCTCTCCATCGCTTTGTTTCTCTCTCTCTCTCTCTCTCTCTCTCTCTAGGGAGGACTCCATAGAAGCCCATTTAATATTTTCATTCTATATTCTCGTTACTGGCATTATTCCTATTGATTTTTTTCATCCAATATATACGTGATATAGATGACATCCTTGACAATTGGCTTCCTGCAGCGCATCTGCGACGACTGACCTTATCAATTGGTGGACCAACGAGCCGGGGTGAGCGGTCAGGCCGTATCGATTGTGCACAGATACAGTTGCAAGGAGATAACAGACACCCTGACGGTCATCGATCGTCCAGCTCAGCTTCAGGCCAGCCACGTCGCCCATACACGCTTGCTGCTGTTAAAGTAAATAGTGTAGAATAAAGCGCGCAGCAACGGCAACAAATTATGGCAGCCTAAGAACTACAGGCCGTGTCCAGATCATTATTTAAATCAGCGATCGATAGAGCTGTTACAGAGTTTTCGTGTCGTGCTTCATGTTGTTTTGCGGCCCTTAATGATATATATGTACAATACGTGTACGAGGATACTTGGCATACGAAGGCAAACGGGCGTACGCGTATTCCACAGTGCGATGGCTTTCACTGTTGAACGCGTATAGATAGGTAATAGGACGACGTTCTATATTGAGAGAAGCTCAATATTACGAAACGTTTAGTGAATAATCGCGAGACATCTTGATTAAGCTCTAGTCTTGTTTGACTGTCATATAATAGTATTCCAAGCTTGAATACCCTGAAGCATGAACGGTACAGGCGACAGCAGCCAACATTCAACTGTATCAGCATCAGCTGGCTATTTAATGTCAAATTTACTGCCTTACGCCACAGGAAAAGAGTATAGATAAAGTTCGCCGGCATCAAACCATCACAGATACGGTTAGAAACTCTGGCCAATATAGCATATCTGCCACTGTCCAGAAAAAGCTATTTGATTAAAAATATCAAATTTATAAAGGTGTCTTATTGTAGCGCAAAAATTTCGCGCCTACCTCGTACCTCATTAAGTGTTCATTTGATTTCCAGCTTTCCCTCTATGACTTCGCCTGAATAATCTGCTGAACAGAATGCGCCGATCATTTAGCATAAACTCGCTTGATATGGATGACGTTAGCCCCTTAGAATCTCCCTCGTTCTATCATCAGCGCCATCAGACCAACATTCTCTTCGTAACGTACGTGGATTGAAGAATGACGAAGAAATCGACGAACTCAACCTGTTAATATCTTGCGGTTTGGTTAGCGATCAAACATCGACGACAGGTACGTTCTGTTTATTATCTTCTTCACGATTTTGGCCTCGTCGCCTGCAGTTGACCGAGTGAAATATCAAACCATAAAACAGCATTAACAGCGAAAAGCTTTCATTTCATTACGATATAGCAGCATTCAATACCAAAACTGAGAAATACACAGACACGAAAAATCGCAGCGAAATATATAAAAAAAAAAAAAAAACAAAGCGAACGATTTGTACGGCAAAAAACACCCCATTGCAGAGCTTATCACGAGGCTCGCGTTCTACTCGACGACGACGACTTTCCGGGGGTGGCAATTGCCGCAGCAGCTGTTGCGATTGGTGCTGTCGTGGAAATTTTTCTAAAAAAATGCTTTTCCTTTCTTCATGTCCGTCTTTCGATGCGAACAGCAACGCTAGCGCGCAACGAGCCATGAGCCCAATCAGAGTCTCCGATGTTTGCGTTTAACGGCAAAAATAGCGTCGACGACGCAGTCGCTGTGTGGTTCTGTGTTAGCCTTAGAGTTAAATGGCTGGGGGGAAGTAACGGCTGGGTTTTCTTGTGTTATGCTATGGAACTGTTGTCTGTGACGATATGTCTCGATCTTTTTCTACCAGCAGCGTCGGCGACACTCGCGGCTATCCGACTGGCTATGAAGTGCGGCTGTGTAATGAGACACGGCGTTAACGCTTGCTAGTTAGACAATTCAAAAATGAACTTCTGATGCGCCATGTCAACCCCCGGCAGCCTGTTCTTCAAGCGACGCGTCAACTCAACAACACAATCAGAGCCAACCCAAGCAGCGATGTCAATAGTCGCGGCACGAATACTCACAAATACAGCAGGCGAAATAGCCGTCATAGACAGACATCGGCCGGCAGGCAGCGTTTCGACGCAGCAGTTCGCAGTCGTTCAACAAGTAAACTAACCAGGCTACCGAGTATCGGAGCGTCGGAAGAACAGAGCGATCGACGAACCAAACCGCCCTGTCTGATGCTACCTACAGTCGCTGCTGTGACTGTGTTTCGGGACTTCTCCCTCTAGCATTTTTTTTTCCCCTCTGTGATCTGTGGCATAGTGCGGTGTTCCACAAGGGTCAAAAATGCGGGATATGAGCGGCGGGGGTTGCCGCTGTTGGCATCCGGGCTGATCATGCCCAGCGCGCGTTCCGTGTAGAAGACGGCAACCGTGCATGATTACAGTTGCATTGTAGCGACCATTACTTCTACGGTACTTGATGATGACTCCGGCGAAGTCGATATATTAGCTGGAAGTAATGGTGGCGGTATGCCGCCATCGTTGCGGCCGTTCCCCAACAGACCAGTTCACAGGCTCTTCGTGATGCCGTCTTACGGTAGTTGATGTCGTAGTAGCAATTAGGCGTACCAGGAGTAAAATTAGGGGTAGGGGCAGGAGTTGTACCGATTGCAACGTTATGATTTGTCGTTGTTGATTAGGCGTGCGGTGCGCGTCTCGCATAGTTTTGTAGTGTTATGGCGTCGGAGACCCCGATGCTGCTGGTCACCGTGATCCTTTTAATGATGGTACATCGTTGACCTGATCAGCCGGTCGGCGACGAGCTGACTGAATGACAGCTATAGCTGTTGCGTAGTATAGTGCGTCATCTTAGCCAGGGCGTCGACGGCGCCAACAGCAGCCAGATCGACAACGAGCTCGAATATCGCTACTGAGCATAATTAACTCTACCGACTGCAACTCTAAATTCAACCAAGGATTAAATAAAGTATGGCGTCTCGAAGCGAGGCCGAACCTTGAGAAGCGTCAGCGGCCCAGTGGCGACGCGCTGGCCATTTGTGGTGCTGGACTCGATCATTGCGGCCCGGCTCTTCGCACGTCTTGCTAATCCTGTTAGGCTAAATAAGCGAGGACGTTTCCGGCTGATCTTGTCCCTGACGGCGCTGTTACCGTCTTTTAGTTAGTCGATAACTGAATACCGATTGCCGACGAAAGATATTAGAGGAATGCTGTTTGGTCGACTCTCTATTCATTGCATTGATCGATATTGAATTTAGGGCTACATAGCCTTGTGCCTATTTGTATGGATCAGTTAGCTATGTTCACTGCTAGATACTTTTAGCACAGGCTAACTTTTTCCCATATTTACCAAAGATTCTTAGGAGAAGGAAAGCACTGTAAATGTACGTACGTTGGCCGTGTCATCTATGCCAATTGCCAACATTCTAACGATCCTAAACTCTTTACGATCCGTTTTCTGGGTGTACGCGTATGCTTGACTTGCTCTGCCTAACTTAACCATTTAGGTATTTGAAAAGGGTCTTCATCTGCGTGCACCGTAAACAAAGGCGCCGATTGGAGCGTTCAAACTTATTCTCATATGAGCGTTGACTTCTTGATTCTCGGTAACGTTTAGCCGTTGCTGCGTTACGCTGATCTCCGATGGGTGCGCAGATGGTCGTCAATAAAAAAAATTACGGCATCTGCACTAACGATAGTAAAAGCAGCAGTAGTGCAGGTGTCATTGTGGTTTTCAATTTTTGTTGGTACTTTATTGAGGCTTGGAAACCAATTAAATTGCGCAATTGGGACGAGCCTCACCATTTTTACAGGCATATTCTTACGGTGTAACTAAGCCATTATAGAATAACAATACCTGCACTATTTGGTGCATACATATATATAGCTAGTCTATCTGACGCCCGGCTCCTAGCACAAAATGAAGTCTATTTATACCTGGTTTGAATCTAGACTAAAACGTGACCTTAAGATCAACAGGCATATGTGTTACTTACTAAGCTATCACGGGGACAGTTCCCGATAACTGCTTCAGGTGACCCTGTTAGTTTCTCAGACAGAGTTACCCCCTTCCAATGACTTCTATACCTAGGTAAGAACACTCGATGCCAAACCTTGTATTGTCATAGCCAAGGAAAATCTACCAAGTATTTTCCAAGTTTCTTCTTACGCGAGTCTCTTACTTAAAATTTTCAAGAAAGAAGTCAAAGCTTCTTGTGAGGGTCTGCGTCGCGCGGTGTCTGGCTCACTGTCCCTATTGACCATTAGAGTGAGGCAAATGCAGAGAGAGCCCTACGGGCGTGACGCTTTCCGCACCCACCTGCTCAGTGATACTGCTGTGTCGTCCGGTTTATCTGTTGCGACGTTCGCCGACATATAAAAATAGAGAAGGCGCAATACCGATGAGGCCACGCAGTCCAATAGGGCAAAACACACATATTGACAGACCAAGATCGTTCGCCGTCACTCCGTCATTTGTATCCTTTACCACCGCTGAGAGAAGTGCTGCTTCGTCGTTAACCGCCGATTCAATGGACACACAAAGAAACACAGTCTGTAAAGAACAGGGCGAAACCATGATCCACCTCGGGATCGTGGCTCGTGCCACCTCAACCGCGCCCGATTCAACCCAACCCGTGTGGCATACGACTTGCCCTGTGCATAACGGCATACGAATTGCCGCCCGTTCCAGCAATGTCCACTTCGATCACCGCCCCACACTCACCGACTCGCGCAGGGTGGTGAACGCGTGTCAAAGACAAACAACAGTTACCAAAGGCAGAATGGCTCCGCCAAGTGAGTAAATACACAACAAGTTACTGTTGCTGCTGCCTTAAAGCAGCGCGCGCGAGGGAGGCAAGGATGGTGACGCCCGCTTCTGGGGGGATGCTTACGAAGGTCATTATATCATCGAAGGAAGAAGTAAAAAATAGACGAAGATGGGGCGCGAACATAAAAGAGAAGAAGAATGAAAAAAAAAGTTAAAAAATGATCGAAGCAATCCTAAGCACAATAGACTCATGGCGATGCTGCCGAATGAAATGCAGCCCACCTGTATGGGTGTAATAAAAGAAAAATTAAAAATTGATTTGAAAAATATGCGAAAGAGCCACTAAAAAAGGGGTCAACTCTGACTGAAGGACTGGAGATCTTGCAGATTGAAGATTTTAAGAAGATCTAAAGGAAAAGCGAGAAAATGGACGGCTTGCTTGCTTGCTGGAAGTCCGGGATCGATCCCATTGTAATCAAAGACACATTTGTCCGGCTAAAACGGCGTTGTTTACTGGAAGACCACACATGTGAATGTATTACCTATATTGTTGGTGCTAAAAAATTCAATCGTTTACAGTGGTACAAGAAGCTGTTAACGTTGTTAAGTGAATAATCCATAAAAGAAACTCATGGTTTTGATAAACGTATCGTACCATGTAATGAGAGGCCGTGCGTTCACCTAGACCGATATATAGCTGAAATATATATACTAATCGGAAGCGGCGATCCTCGATGACCTAGTTAACTTTGTGCATTCTATCAATCAAGATTATTATACTGTCAAATGATTATGTAGACACATATAGCCTTTATGGATAATACTTCACCGACCACAGGTCACATGTATAGCATCAATCTATCAATAACTTGAATCCTCTTCCTTCTATGGTCTTCTTATTGTTAAACAGCTTCCCTTTATCGTCCGAACTGCAATCAGGCAACAAATCCGGAACGAAGCAAATGCGTTACATCTACGGCAATCAGTTGATAACCGAGAAAAAAAACCAAGAGCCTTACTAGCTGCACCCGTCGTACTACGATTACCCCTGTCGCCGTTTCTTTTGCCTTTTTACATCTCTTTGAATCAGCTACTTAGCTATAAGTGAATCATTATAGCGAAAATTGTACATTGTCAGTTAGCTCTTTCGTTATGTCCGGGTCAGCCAGTCTGTCAGGGAGTGATCATATTGCAGTTTTCCTGCCTTCACCTATCCATACGTATCGGTCAAACCCCTTTTTGACGTCTTGTATATCTGCTCGTCTCTTGACCACCCTCCGATCCGGTTTAACCTTTCGCGGCCGATTCGATCTCTGCCGCTGGTCTTCTGTGCTTCTTGTCCGCTGCTATCGACGGTGTTGATGTTTAGATAATTCGATGATCCATAATGACATGACCGTACCGAAAATGGCGGCGCATCATCGCATGGTGCCGTACCGAAAGCGGGGGGGCGAACAGCAACTGTGGCCA